AAGAGACATTGCCAGTCCAGCATCAATTAGATCCTGGACAATCCCATGTATCACCACGGAGTTAAGGAGGCGACAAATTCCTTACCCTGCCACAGCAAGGAAAGCTGAACTATTCAAGCTCCTTAATACTACAATCGACAACACGGAAGCAGGGGAAGGCCCCAGCAACACCAGTTCAGGTGATATCCAGGCTGTGCTGGCCTCACTCATGACCTCTATGGGCAAGGTCAATGACAGACTGGCTAATCTCGAGGCAGTCACCACAGCCCTCACCAAGGCTGGTCTTCCTGATACTGCTCAACAGGCACCAACCGAACCATGGGTATGGTTATCTCCTCAGATTATCAGGACGTTGACCCTGCATACACTATCCCAGCCCACATTAAGCGAGACATCCTGGAAGGCAAAGACGTCAACCTGGCATCCCTACTAATTGCCTCCCAGGATGTGGTGGAGAACAAAACTGTAACGGATCACCTGGCACCCCGACTGGGTACCTCCGTTAAAGGATGCTCCTAGCGCTTCCTGAGGACTCCAAGCACTCTGGCAGACACCACAATCACCGAACCGGAGAAACAAATAAATTCTCCCAAGCATATGAATGCTGTAGACAGTTGAATAGGAAACCATACGAATAGGTTTACCCTCCTAGCAGTCAAACTGGAACAGCATACAATGAATCCTTCCCCCAATAATGAGACGACACTTCACTTTGAGGGTTAAAACAGGAACTCTCTGTACTGTCACATACAGTCTCTTTTATTCCCAAATCACAAACATAGTACAGCCCACAGGGCGTTACAAAACAACCAATCACATATCAGTTACATCCCACATATTCCCTCCCCTTATCCTGAGAGGAAACTCAATTACACATACAGTTAAAACATACTTTCTACCCAACTTTCATAACTCTAAAACCATACATCACATTCACATAAAATTACATATTCACAATCAATCCATTCAGGGGAACAACATATTAAAAATGGCACGAATCAGACCAGGGGTTCAAAAGTTAGTAAAAAGTCCTTTGTGACTAAATGAAGCATGGCTTTCTGGCCCAAACCAGTTTCAGAGTCTTCTATCCTGGAGAGTAATTCAATTATCTCCCAGGATAGACACAAGACTCCATTAAGCACATGGTTGCAAAAAGACACAAAACACTTTAAAATACATAAAGTCACATTTACACATAACACACAGACATTTCACATATCCCCAGATAGCTGGGATCTGAGTGCACATTATTAGATGAATGGCACTCAGATCACACAAATAAGCCTTTCTGCAGGGGAAATAAACAGTTTAACCTGCAGGGCCATAGTCCAAAGGGAGCAGGCGAGCAACCAGGCTTCTCCAGTTCACAGTGGCGAGGTTGGTTTCGCCACAAAAACCTATATGTACGACGAAGTTTCTGTAGTGGTCAGATCAAAAGACGTAAGGTTAAACCGTAAACTGACCATTCCAGAATTTGTGTTAGCCTTTGGTATTTTTAGAGATGTAATTTGTGAAGTATACCCTAATAGAAGGGAAGAATTTGATCGATATATGCACAAGCTGGTGGACCTGGGGAACAAATATGGTGGATCTGCTTTTTATGACTACCATAGGTCTTTTTCCACGAAAGTGTCTGGAGCTCTCTCTCAGTATGGAACCCGTATCAACTGGAGCAGACTAGATACAGAGCTGTTCTGTAGACACTTCGCAGGTCTCAAAACACCGGCTTGTGCATCCTGCTCTTCTACCACTCACACTACCAATTTCTGTTCTCACACAGCAGACGACCGTAATCAGTCACCTAGCACAAGCTACGCTGGTAGAACTGAGAAAATCACCAGGGACAAACTGGGTCGTCCTATCATTTTCTTTGGTAAATCGCAAGTGTGCAATAATTTCAATGTGGGCACATGTAGCTTTAGTGCATGTAGGTTACTGCATATTTGTTCACATTGTTTCAGGGCACATGCGCATACCATGTGTCCAAATAAAATGTACCCTAAACCGTACCTAACGTCTGTTAACATTCATGTCATCGCAGCACTTTTAACCAATCACCCTTCCAGACATATGGTAAATTTTCTAATTTCTGGATTCTCAGAGGGGTTTCATACAGGCATTATACAAATGCTCACAGGCCAACTCGAATGCCCTAATTTTCAGTCAGCACAACAAAACCCAGCAGCCATAGACACACTCCTAGCCCAAGAGCTGGCAGAAGGGTTCTTGTTCGGGCCTTTCAAAACCCCACCTATTACGGCATGGCGCACAAATCCCATAGGGATAGTCAAGGGGAAAACATCCCTTAAGCAAAGACTCATCATAGACCTGTCAGCCCCTCATACCTCATCTACACCGAGTCTCAACTCTCTTATTCCCTCCGAAGAGTTTTCCTAAAATATGCCACTATAGACCATGCTATTACAGCCATTATGCAAGCAGGGATCGGAGCATGGCTAAGTAAGACAGACATTACCAATGACTTTAAACTACTACCTATCCATCCCACACTATGGCACTTACATGGCATAAAATGGGCAGATAACTATTACTTTTTCTCCCGCTTAACCTTTGGGTCTAAAAGTAGCCCCAAAATCTTTGACACTTTTGCGGAAACACTGTGCTTGTTGTTACTTAATGTGTCTAGATGCCCCATAGTCATCCATTATCTGGATGATTTCTTACTGATTGAAGCAAACTCCCTTCCCCCCAGGAGTCTCAAAGCAACTATTAGTTTGTTTGACCACCTTGGAGTCCCGGTATCCAACAAGAAAACCGAAGGCCCAGATACAATTATTACATTCCTAGGTATACAACTAGACTCTGCCTCCATGTAGGCTAGTTTACCACAAGACAAAATCACAAACATACTTAACAGCATTAACCATTAAATTTTGCTGGGTAATTGCAACCGCAAGGAACTACAATCACTCATAGGTTCTTTGAACTTTGCCATGCGCATCATTCCTCAAGGGCGGGCTTTCATATCCAGACTTCTCTGTCTTTTTCCATATTTTAAACACGACACCTATAGACTATCCTTGGATGAGCATGCCACGGCAGACCTATATATGTGGAAAGAATTCTTGACCACCTGGAATGGTAAAAGCTTGTTCCTACCAGAGTTGACTGACACGTCTCCAACAATATGGTCAGACGCGGCGTCTACCACAGGTTTCGCAGCAATCTTAGGAAACAAATGGCTTTGGGTTAAGTGGCCTGCAGAAGTCTATGACTTAGAAGGCTTTTTTACAACCTCAGCTCTTTTTGAGATCCCATTGTAGCAGCTGCCGTGGCATGGGGACATTCATGGTCAGGCTTATCAGTCCGTTGCCACACAGACAACCAAGCAACATATCACATCATTAACAAAGGCCGCTCATCATCCCTAACAATTATGAGATTTCTCAGGAAGCTCACGTGGTTAGGAGCATGTCACAATTTTTACTTGGTCTGCTTTTATATACCAGGCATTTCTAACATAGCAGCTGACAGTCTATCTCATTTCAACTTCAGGCTTTTCAGCAAGCACTCCCGTCAGCAGCAATTACAGCCCCAGCCGCCCCTCCATTCCAGCAGCTAACCATGGACTAGAAATAATTATGCAACATAGCAGGGTTCTGTCCAAACTGGCACTATCATCCAACACTCACTAAGCATACAACAGAGCCTTCACACTCTTCACAAGATTCCTATCCGAAAACGACATGACGCATCCTTTCGTCATGACATCCATTATAGCCTTCGCTTCTTTTTGCCACCTTACATTAGACTTATCTTACAACACAATCAAATTATACCTGACAGGCATTCAACATCATATGCTCACTCTACAACCCAATACACAGAGTTTCATGTCATCTTATCAGGTAAAGAATATACTTAGAGGTATTCAGAAATCCATCCCTCCACCGCTTCCACAGAGATTACCTATAGATAACAACCTTTTCCAGTTATTATCCGACCTGTTAGAGTCCAAACCTTTTCACTCTACTACCAACACAGTCATCAAAACGGCCATGTACATAGCTTTTTACGGGTTCCTCAGGCCAAGGGAATTCACTACTATCACCACCACTCAAAAAGACAGATGTCTGCTACGCACACACATACGCAAACACATGGATCACTACATACTGGCATTACCTCAGTCAAAAACAAGCCAACACGCACATCCTGTGGAGATCACCTATTTTCCTACACACACCAAATGGTGTCCAGTAACAACACTGGATTCCTACCTTTCACTTACCTCATCAATACCATCGCTACACCTATTTTCACTCAAAGGCTCTGTACTCACTACTGCGACTTTCATGTGATACATCAGATCTCTGTTAACCAGGCTAGGTCTTAACCCTTCACTATACTCAGGTCACTCCTTCCGCATAGGGGCGGCTTCCATAGCTTCCAGCGCAAACATACCGGTGCATATCATTAAGTCATTAGGGCGGTGGAAGTCATCCGCCTACACAACCTACATACCGAAACCTACACAAGAATTAAGAAAGGCTTTTAAAAAAATGTCTGGATAATTGTATAAATTGTTGACTGTATTAAATCTTCAATTATTTGATTTTTGCCCTCTTTATTTACAGGCCTACCGTATCGTCGGTATCGGCACACCACAACCGACTTTGCTCATTTATACTATCTTACGTTCTCACTTGAACCTACTCCATATACGGCTAAATTGGCCTTTACACAAGTGTTAAGGCCGTTTGGTCTGTATTTGTGGAAAGGCCTGGAATTAAACCACTCCCCTATATAAGGTACATCCCTTACCTGTCTCCACACCGTTCAAGGTCAGCATCTGAATGACCCTCCCACCCACTCCTCTTTTACAACACTTTCCTCTTTCAATTCTATCTTACTTTATTTCTTCTTGGCGGGCCCTCTTTATTTACAGGCCTACCGTATCGTCGGTATCGGCACACCACAACCGACTTTGCTCATTTATACTATCTTACGTTCTCACTTGAACCTACTCCATATATGGCTAAATTGGCCTTTACACAAATATATATATTTATATATATATATATATATATATATATATATATTTTATTTTTTTAATTGGAGTAGCCCCAAAATATTGGGACATATAAAAAAAGACAACTCTGTTCCACAGAGTAGCTGTTAACATTATAGTTGCACAGGAACTTTGTTGACTCTAGAGAACCTCGGGCAAATCGCAATTCACCGTGGCGGCGACTTTGCATACATATGTCATCCATATCAACTTTCGATGGCAGTTTCTGCGCCTACCATGGTGACCACGGGTAACGGAGAATCAGGGTTCCATTCCATACAGGGACCCTGAGAAACAGCTACCACATGCAAGGAAGGCAGCAGGCGCGCAAATGACCCACTCCCGACGTGGGAAGGTAGTGATGACAAATAACAATACTTTAGAGGCCCTGTAATTGTAATGAGTCCACTTGAAATCCAATTGGAGGGAAGTCTGGTGCAGAGCCACTGACCCGTGCATGCTGCAGCTGAAACTCCACTATCACATGCTGCTGCTCGCACATGAGGCGGTGAGCGGGAAAGCCAATGCCAAAAGCACGCACAGCTGCTACAGTGAATGTCACATCCTGTTCCAAGTTGCGGATCAGTCTGGTGATGGCTTCGGGTATCAATTACTCTTTTTACTGAAGCTGCATCAGGGTCCTGGTATGTGGCCGCACAAACGCTGGTGCTCAACCCTGCACCAGACCCTGCTAATCCATTCCACACTGTGACTCCTAACTTCAATATCAGGCATACTGGGTCCAACCGTCGCCCAGACAGTGTCTGGGTCCTGGTCACCGTACTGCCCACCTCACTGTGAAACTACGAATGGATCGTTAAATCTGGTACGAACCCAAACTTTGCAGTTCGGGTTTGCTCAAGTCTATTATGGATCCTTTCATCGCTACATGTATTACTTGGATAACTGCTAATTCTCGAACTAATACATGCAGACGAGCGCTAGGGGACGGCCGCTCCGCTTTTGCACCATGCTCCCTCTTATGCTGTGCTGGTGCCTCTGTGCGACCAGTGCGTCTTCCTATAAACTGCACACGTCACTCGCATGACCTTGATTCCATGTGGAGTCTAGGACCTCATCATCCTCCACAACATCTTCCACTCACTCCTCAACCCTGCCCTCCTTGCCGGTATGCACACTGCAGAAAGCCACAGCAGTTGGCACTTGTGTTTTTCCAGCATGTAAAGTCTGCAAAGGACATATGGAAATTGTTTTAGAATTGTATCCAGGCAACAGTTTTCCCTATAAACTGACCTCTCAGTTTGACTTGTGAGGGTATTGCCCCAGAATTACAATATTATTGAAGTACTTCTTAGCTATTGATCACTGGTTTAAATATAGCAGCTTGTTATCTGGTAGTTTCTAGTGTAGAAAATATCAATCTGTTTTCTATCACTTAGATCTGTGTAACAAGTGTTGTAGGTGTGAAACAATATTACAAGTGACCGATGTAGTAAATTCGAATCAAAGTTACGCTTCGATTTGACTCTCAGATATGAAGTGAACACCCCAAATATACTATTTAGCACCAAAAAAAAAATGTAAAAAATTGACTTTTCAAAACTACAATGTAAGCAGCAGATTAGCAGCAAAACAATTAGAATGTTTACAACTGCGCAGTAAGCGCACTATTTGACGCTTCTATTTGACTCTCAGGCCGCAAATGTACTATTTAGCAGATTAACATCAAAACAATTAGAATGTTTACAACTGCGCAGTAAGCCCACTATTAGACGCTTCTATTTGACGCTCAGCTATGAAGAGCAGGCCACAAAATTTACTCTTTAGCAGATTAGCACCCATAAACTAAGAATGTTTACCACTGCCCTGTAAACGCACTATTAGACGCTTCTATTTGACTCTCAGATATGAAGTGCGCCCCACTAAAATACTATTTAGCAGTTTAGGACCCAACAAATTGTAAGTTTTAAAACTGAACTGTGACAGCAGTATTTGACGCTTCTATTTGACTCTCAGATATGAAGGGCACACCACTAATGTACTACCCCACTAATGTACTATTTAGCACAAAAAAAAATGTACTTTTTAAAACTCTGATGTAACCGCGGTATTTGAAACTTCTATTTGACTCTCAGATATGAAGTGCACCCCACCCCACTAATGTACTATTTTGCAGAATTCTTTCCTAAGCTGTCCCTATCAGCGGCAGCATCCTCTCCCTACACTAATAAGACCGCATGTGCGTGCGGCGCTACGCTACTCCAGCTTATATATAGAGGCTGGGTCACATGCTGCACTGGCCAATCTCAGCCATGCCATTAGTAGGCATGGCTGTGATGGCTTCTAAGGGCACACAAGTCAAACGCTTGTTGATTGGCTGCCCTGCAGCCTTTGAAAATGTGCCATTAAATCGCCAAGCACTGATCTCCAACCTGAACATACAGTGATATGTCCGTGTTTGTGTCCGGGGTCCAAAAAACCTAATGTTCGGTACGAACCCGAACTTTATAGTTCAGGTTCGCTCAACTCTACTTATGACTGCACTAATCTGCAAATAGTATTGCAGCTGGTAGGCATCATCTTGCTCCTGCATTGCCTGATGGCTATGAAATAAATATCATTTTTCTAAAGTTGTAGTAAACCCGTGCTGACTGTAATAAATGCACAGGCAACTTTAAGAAAACTTTAACATTTATTCACACCTGTCTGTGTATGATTATATGATTAGAGTGGTGAGCTGTGGCAAAATATAAGTGGGTACGGTGTGAAACCCACCCACAGACGATATCACAACTCCAAGTAAAATGTCTTAAATGTCAGGTGAAATAATCCCGAGATAAAGGCCTTGATAGGGTTCATTCCGGTGCTGGGCTATCCCACATATGCAGCAAGTCACATAAAACAAAATGCAGTTCGCACTCAGGAGAAAACCCTTATGATCCACAGAAAAATACACAGAAATAATGAAAAAGTGCACATTTATTGATATAAAAATTGCAGCGACGTATAGCAGAAAGTAGTCATGGCAGCATTCCAAAAAGCTGAATATAAGAGCAGGAATATTGAGTAATGCAGACATTATGATAATCACAAAGGGAATATACAGATATCCAGGCAAGGACAACATACTTGCAAAAAATAGGAACACTTAAGGAATTAAATATTAAGTAGTTGTGATACCTGCTGCTGCCAGACATGAGGAAGACCACCACACTGCCACACACAAAAAGGTAATAGTGAGTATCCTGGATGCATATCGCACCTTCTGGTGCTTTCTCAACATGAATGAACGTAGGAAATTCTGGAGATATATAGGAGGAGTCCATTCAAAGTGAGGCTCCTTATATACAAATCACCTACACCTAAATCTAGACATGGGTGAGAGGGAGCTAAGACAGACTTACTAAAGTGCTGGAGTGGATTAGTACGATAAAGGGATCTATACCAGATAAATAAATCCTAGCCCCATCTTTTCAAAAAAGCCCAGATGTATAGATGAAAGATGTATGATAGTTTTCTCATGTGAATACCATGCCATAAGGGGCACCATGATCCAGCATTTGTATATCATAGTACATGCAGCTGTTCAGCATTCAACTTTTGTCTTTAAAATAGTACACATTGCGTACATTTTTACATGCATGAGAAGAATAAACCATTTTCAATTAATGGAGAATTTAAAAATATGACATTAATCTTCATAGAGTGTTTGAGAAAACCACCTATTGCAAGATCAATATTCTATTTCTATACCACAATAGCAAGTTTGGAGGGAGGCGATGGGGGTGGGAGTTTTGGGAATATTATAAAGTTCAATGATGGCTCTCGGATCATTACCGTACCTCAAGAAACTACTCACTTTCATACGCTGTAACATAATTATTTAATTGCTCTTGACAGCCTCAATAAAAGTGTCTGCAAATCAAAATGTGACAATAATTCAAGGGCCACTACTCCATACTAATTCTTCTTGACCTCTCTGCTGCCTTTGACACCATTGATAATGCTCTCCTTCTTCAAACTCTTCAATCACTCAGGCTCTGTGACTCTGTCCTCTTATGGTTTTCCTCTTATCTCTCCCAATAAACTTATTACCTCTTTTGGATTCCACTACCACCTGTATGCTGATGAGACCCAGATATATCTCTCCTCCCCGGACCTCTCCCCTGCCATCCTGAAACATGTCACTGCTTGCCTTTCTTCCATCTCTGACTGGATGTCCTCCCGCTTTCTGAAACTCAGTCTCTCTAAAACTGAGCTCCTTGTCCTTCCTCCTCCTAACACTGATCCTCCTCTTTCCCTCTCCTTTCAAGTTAGTGGTATCCACATCAGTCCATCCTTCCATCCAGTCCATCCAGGCTGTCTTGGCCTCATACTTGATCTGGCCTCACCTTTGAGCCTCACATCTAGTATGTTGCCAAATCCTGTAGATTCCATCTTAAAATTATTGCCCTTTCTTACACAAGATGCTACCAAGGAGCTTGTCCATACTCTAGCAATTTCCTGCATGGATTATTGTAACCCTCTCCTAATTGGTCTTGCCAAAAGCTGTATTGCCCCGCTACAGTCTATAATGAATGCTGCCACCAGACTGATTTTCCTCTCTAGTCGGTACCTCGAACACCTCACCCCTCTGTCAGTCCTTACATTGGCTTTCTGTATCCTATAAGAGTCAATTCAAAGTGCTAACCCATACCTATAAAGCATTGAATAATTCTTTCCCCTCATATCTCTTCACAGATACATAGGTATGCCCCTTCTTGGCCTTTCCGCTCTGCCCATGACCTTCTCCTGTCCATTGCTTTCACCCGTACAGCCAACTCATGCTTGCAGGACTTCTTGCAGGCAGCTCCCCTCCTTCGCCATCAGACTCTCCCCTAGTCTTCAATCCTTTATGAAGTGGCTTAAAATCCATCTCTTTAACCCCTTAAGGACACATGACATGTCTGACATGTCATGATTCCCTTTTATTCCAGAAGTTTGGTCCTTAAGGGGTTAAAAAGCTTATGGCCTCCCAGAGTAACCTCTACCTCACATACCTGTCTCTTGCTCTCTCCTAAAGGGCAACACTTTACTCTCTCCTCCAGCTCTGCTTCACTCCCACCTTATTTGATTGCTATTTCCTGTCCTAATGTGTTTTATACCCCACCTCCTGTAGACTGTAAGCTCGTTTGAGCAAGGTCCTCTTCAACCTATCGTTCCTGTAAGTTTTCTTGTAATTGTCCTATTTATAATTAAACTCCCCCTTTCATAATATTGTAAAGTGCTACGGAATCTGTTGGCGCTATATAAATGACAATAATAATAATAATAATTAATTAGTTATGTAAATACAAAGTTTGCTAAAATAGCAATGAATCAACGTTTCCTTAAAATGATATTTATTTTAAGTAATAAGTTA